AGGGACGGCTAGCGCAGATAGCCCTCGTGTAGCTTTGCGCAAAATTTAAAACAAACAAACAATCTTTCTCAGTGTTGCTGTAATATTTTAGTATTTTGGCCCGTTGATGTGAAACAAGTGATGGATTAACTTGTATATATCATAACTTTTTCTTTGTTACAACCACTTTTCATGTAGTTTTATTATTATTATATCGTACCATAAGCAACATAAAACTCTCATCACATTTGTTGACTAATAGATCAGAAACTCTGGAAAGCATTAAAAAGCTAAAAGGATTTATAAACAAACAGTTAAAAATGTGGAAAAACTGGAACTCTGGCTAGCTGCCTAAATATTACTAAAGCTTGATTGTCAGTTTCTTTTTCAATACTTAAAAGATTGTCATAAGAGAATTATTCAGTTATTTTTGTTTACTTTGTTTGTTTTTTTTAAAAAGTTCACTCATCCATTACTTAAGAACTGTGTGATTAATAGATCTACTACAAACTACTGATGAAAGATTTAGAAGCTTTGAACACATGGCCTCTTTGATTATAACATCAAGTTCTTTTTATTTGAAATTCACTCTTTTTAAAATATAATTATCTCTAAGTCTTATCAACGAGGGAAATTATGTTTGCAAAACAAGAAACCTATTTAGTTTTATTTTGAGTTTACTTACTGATTATAAAATAATAAGATTATTTTTTTTTTTTACATGTGTTGGTACAGATTCTTCTTCAAGCTTTAGAACTGAATAAGAACTTAAAGTCTCTTAATGTTGAGTCCAACTATCTCACACCACAGACAATCCGTGATCTAGTCAAGGCTCTTTTACCTACCCAAAGTGTCCTTGAGTTGAGGACTGCCAATCAGGTAATATTAGTTAGTTTACAGGGTGGTCCAGAAGTTAGTTCCTCCACATTTTAACCTTATCTGTTTGAATACCATTTGACTTGTACCAGAACTCCTTGGTTCTTTGTCAGTTTTTTGCTGCACTTTTGTGCTCTTCACATTTACTATTACATTAATTTAAAAGAAATTGAAACTAAAAAAAGAATTGGTTATTATTCTGGGGCATCTGTCTTTTGGACCACACTGTATTCACGATGAGTATACTGGAATGGACAGCAACTGCCTGTTGTAAAAAACACAAGTGTAGAGAACAGTGTTTTGAAAATCTTCCATCTTTTGTCTTCAGGACTTTTGAAACTTCGTCCTCTAAGCTTGTGTTATCGTCCATTCCAGTGTACTCATCAATCTATTAAAGAACAAACTGTATTTATTTTTCTTGATTATTAAAGTGTTGTAAACAGTAGTTATTGATGAATTATAAATCATATCTGTAAACTAAGGTATATTTTTGGTGATCATTAATTCTGTTTAGCTTCCACCAAGCATCTGAAACAAATTATAATTAATACATGTGTAATCAGCCATTGCATAAGAGTTTGAATGTTTTTTAAAATTAAATACCTAATGGTATGCAAGACTTATTCCTATGTGACCTGTGTTGAATAAAAAATATTTACGTGTATACATTTCTTAATTGTTATGAAACATTCTTTTTATTTTGTAGGGCTTTTCTGCTATCACGACGGATCTTTAGTGTTTTTATGTGATTTCTGTTTCACTCACCGACTATGTTTTTTATTATACTAATCTTTTAACTAACAACATTACGTGTGCTGTAGTTTTCTTGAGTATAGTGAATAACTTTTTTTAACATTTTACAAGTTTGGTGCTGAAACACATTTTCAACCTCATTATTTTGATTTGATTTTAACCATTTCACTACAAAAAAATTAACTAAAGTCTATTAAACTTTTATTACTGTTAAGTGCAAAAATCGAATTTTCTCCATGGCAGGCAAAAAAAAATTTTTTCACTGTGATAGTTGATAGATATCCCCCGGTCTTGAAATGGCTGCCAAATATCTGTATGTGCTGCCATCTGTGAGTTATATAAGTAAACATAAACAAGACTCGGCTGATCCACCCATTCTGCCTGCACAAATGATGAGTAATCGGTTAACTATTTAGTCAGTCAATAAATTGACTTATCACTCAACTTTGACGAATTACTCATGAGAGTCAAAGGTGCACTTTATTTATTTTGTAAATACAAAAACTTCATCATTTTTTTCTTTGTTGTTGTACTCTAAATGACATCGAGCCACATGATGCAAATAATTTTTCTGTTATATATATGTGATTTTCCATATATGTATTTTTTCTTGTTGAAAATCTAAATTTCCTTTATTTAATATTGTTTTCAAGAAATTTTAATGTCAGATGTAGAAACTTTGTGCTCATTTGAAGTTGGGAAAGTAATAAAACAGGTCAAATTTGATGGAAAATTAAAACTTTTTGTGAACACTCCTGAAATATAATTATGCATTGAAAGGTTTAATTTTGTAATTAGTACTACTTCTGAATGTCCGCTAGTGGAACAGCGGTAAGTCTACAGACTTACAATGCTGAAATATGGAGTTCATTTCCTAGCAGTGGACATAGCACGTAGCCTATTGTGGCTTTGATCTAAAACACACTTTTGAACGTTAGAGATATTGCATTTATATCAAAGATATTACACTCCATAAACTAAAGTAAGAAATATTATTGGATGAAGTTAAATTGATATTAAGATTAATTTAAACTCAGCTAAAAGTATTTTAAAATATGAATGGAGTTGTGAATGGACATATCTTTTTTTTTATGAGAATCACGATTTCTAAGGTTGGTGTTTTCAGTTAATCTGTGAAATTGTCTTTTGTTTTTATTTACTTTTATTCCCTTCTTAGAGTCCACAGGTTCTTGGCAACAAGATTGAAATGGAGATTTCTAAGTTAGTGGAAATGAATGACACACTACTGAGGATTGGAATATTTTTTGAGATAGCTGATGCTCGAATTCGAGTTGCTGCCAAACTGCAAGAAAACAACGATGCCAGTAAATATATTTTTCTTTGATTCAGTTTCCAAACAAGTGAAAGAAAGATTATCAATATTACATCTCTTTTTAGCATAGGGCTGGCATGGCCAGGTGGTTAGGGCGTTCGACTCGCAATCTGTGGGTTCGAATCCCCGTCCCACTGAACATGCTCGCCTTTTCAGCCATGGGGGGGTGTTATAATGTGATGGTCAATCCCACTATTTGTTGGTAAAAGAGTAGCCCAAGAGTTGGCAGTGGGTGGTGAT